TGCACCCATGTCATGCAATGCCTGGGGAACACAAAAGAGGGTTAGATCCCCTGGAACTGGACTTATGGATGGTTGTTAGCTGCTATGTGGTTGCTGGGATTTGAATCCAGGTCTTCTGCAAGAACAGCCAGCGCTCTTAACCACTGAGCCACCTCTCCAGTGTGAGTCTTGTGTAAGGAGCTCAGAGACTCCACAAGGACCTTAGGCAAAGGTTAGTATTCTGCATTCAAAGCTATCACTGAGGAGAGTACCCTGAGTCAGTCGTTCCCCTGTCAGGGCGTCAGATCCTTTTACCTATTCTGAGAGTAGAACTGTTGTTTTCCCATCCTTATCTCCAGGGAGGTTGGCGGAGAATTCAACATCAAAGACACCACTAACCATGGAACTCTCCCCTTCTGAGAATTCTGGAATCTGAAGCTAGTCAACCCATCAGAAAAAATTTCCCTTAGAAATGCGATGAGCAGTCACAGTCTTGGGGTGTCCTGGGCCTCCTCTGGGCCTGCCGACATTTGAGAGTGGGCAGTGGTGTGTCCATGTAGGGGCTCTCTGCCTCTAGAAGGACTTTCTCCCAGGTTGAAACCCTGTTGCTGCCTGTCAGCTTACTTCTGCCTTCCTTTGTCTCCAGCTGTTGTGTTTGCCTCCTTGGTCTAGAAGGTGGCACATCCAGCCTAGGAAACAAAGACCTAGTTCTGGGACATATGGTAACTGGGATGAGACTTGCCAAGAAGTGGCCAGGAGGCCGCTTGCATGGTCTGGGGCAGTCCCCATCAAGCTTTTCCACAGAGGAGATGGTGGGGTGTGTAAGATGTGCTTATCTTCTCCAAGGCTGTAGAGGCAGAGGGGTCTGCCTCTGACACAGAAGGAGGGGGGAACACATCAAGCCAACACTTAGATTAACGAAGTCATGTCCAGAATTGTGCGATACAGCTGGCTCTGCAGCCAGCAGATCCTACGTGATCTGAGAAATGTACCAATCCCCTGGATGGTTTTCTCTTCTGTAACTGGTAACCTACCTTTGAGAAGTGTTTCCAGGCATAAATGGGAGAATGACCACAGCTACCATAGTTGAGTCTGCATCTGTGATCCTTACTATCATCATGGTCATCACCACCCTCCTCATTGTACCACCATCACCCTGACACCAAAGGCAGTGATGATATCATGATGTTGAAGGTAGCTGTGATAGGGTGATTCTCATAATGATGATAACGACTAGGAATCTGAACAATGGTGATGGTGGTAGTGACAATCATCTTCCCTCACCACTACCACCATCATCAGGATCACCATCATCCCCATTATTATATAACCACTAGACTCAAACATCATCACTACTATAATATCATAACTGTGCTCCTCCTCCTCCACCACCATCATCATCCTCATCAACATCCTCTTCACCATCATTACCACCATTATCACCTTCACCAATATTACCATCCCCATCATCTCCATAACTATCACTATTGTCAATACTATCATCGACATCTTCAAAATCGTTACCATATTGCCACCATAATCATCATCACCATTTTCCTCCTTACCACCATGACCACCATCACCATTGTCTTGATCTCCAGCACTGCCCTCATCATCATCATCATCACCGTTTTCTCTACCATGACCACCATCACATCATCATTACTATTATCATTTATCAATTATTTATATTTATATCATTTATTTATATTTATTATCATTTATATTATCAGCATCACTGACATCACCATCATTACCACCACCACCATCACCATCATCACCATTGTCTTGATCTTCACAATTGCCATCATCATCATCATCACCAACACCACCATCTATATGACCACAGTCGTCACCACCATCATTGCTACCATGACCACCATCATGACCACCATTATAGTCATCATCACCATCATCATCACCATCACCATCACCATCACTTTCATCACCATCTTGATCATCATCACCACCACCATCATCACCATCACCACCACCACTGTTGTCACCATCACTATTACCACCATCATCATTATTACTAATGTCATCATATTGCCACCAAAAATATCATAACCATTTTCGTCTTTACCACCACCATTGTCTGTCATCATCATCCATCACTCTGACCGTCATCACCACCACTGTCATCATCACCATCATCACCACCATCATCATCACCATCAGTCACTATCATCACCACCATCACCATAACCACCATCGTCATCACCATCACTATTACCACAATCATCATTATAACTAACATCATCATCTTTCCACCAAAAATATCATCCATCACTCTGACCATCATCACTACCACTGTCATCTGTGGGGTCTCTCCCTCTCCTCGTGGGTCGTTGGCCACCGTTCCACGAGGACAAAGGGAGCAGACAAAGGGAGCAGAAGCGACGAAAGCGATACAGCTCTAGATTCAGTGATACAGCTCCAGATTCAGTGACACAGCTCCAGATTCAGTGATACAGCTCCATTTATTCAGTGGGGGTTAGGGAAAATATAGTGTGGAGGCAGCATCCAAAGCTTCAGCTGATAGGTGTTCATAGTATGCTTTATTTACATGTGGTAGGGGGATCCTATCATCTGGCTACAGGGAAATGCCTAATTATTGTATAGAAAAAACCTGGGGATAGTTTTATTGCAGATAACTATGCCAAAGGTCATGGTCCAAATAAGGTCAGGCATCCGTGCTTGACGGCACTTTCCAGGTAAGTCAGGCAGAGAGCAGGAGGCCTCCTGCTGAGAAGGGGGGTCCTTCCATATAGCGCTGAGCCCCTTAGAGCTATCCTGACATGGAGGACTACAACCCTAGCAGCAGGGTCCCCCAACAGTCATCATCACCATCATCACCACCATCATCACCATCATCACCACCACCATTACCATCATCAGCACTATCATGGGTGCCATAATCATCACCACCACTATCATCACCATCTCAATCATTATTGCCACCACCATCATCATCATCATCACCACTACCATCACCATCATTATCATCACCACCTCAATCATTATCACCACCACATCACCATCATCAACACTAACTATCATGGGTGCCATGATCATTGTCACCAGCATCACTGTCATCACCATCAGCCCCCTCTTCCTTCTAGAATGCATAGACATAGGATGGACATGCACTCTTCAGGATAACATGGCTGCCTCTTGACTGGACTGGGGAGTGTGTGGTGGAGGGTGAGAGGACACTGATCAGGCAACACCCTTTTGTTGGTTGTCCATTCAACTTCACATCCTTTTCAGATCTGCCTCTGCCTGCAAGGTCTTTGTGGTTCTCAGAAACTCTAGTGACTGGATAGAGATTCTTGGGCTGGTGGGCATCCCATTGTTGGTGAGACTGAGGGTAGTTCCTGCAGTGTAGCTTGGCTTCAACACCACTGGCAAGCTGATGAGAAAAGAAAGGGATTCATTCAAAGGTCTACACCAAGTACCACAAACCAGGCACAGGCGTATGGGAAGCCATTGGTCAAAACCAGCAAAGAGGGCAGCCATGGTGGTTGGGTTGGCTACCACTGGCAACGTATGGCACAGAGAAGATGCACCACAAATAGCCTTTGGATAAATGGATTAAAAATTAACGAAGGTTGGCCACGACATTTGTGTCAGCTGCACTGTTTCCCAGTGATGCTCTTCCTGTGGACCACAGTGGAAATCCTTCATGAAAATGGAAATAGCTCCAGAAGAGGGGGAGGCTGGGAGACAGAGCATGTGTTCTGGTCCTGCCAACTTGGAATCATTTATAAACGAATCTCCCTCAATGACCACATTTCACAGAGAAGTAACATCTGTTTGTGAGACTGTCTCTGGGAGGCTGCCAGAAACCTCCCAACACTCTGTAGTCTGTCACATCGGAACACACACTTTAGCACCACCGGGTAGGTCAGGTGTGGTGGGCCGGTCTCTGAAAAGTGGGTGTTAGGATCGGGTGGCAAGTAGAGACATGATAGGGCCTTCGTATCTTGAACACATTAACCCTCGGAGGAAGATGCTTTCCCCTTAAGTGTTTGGAAGCTCTTGCGGACCCTGGTCCACTGTTCCTCAGGTCCAGTGTTTGTCAATAGCAGCAAAAAGCAGAGTTGTATGCCTTGAAGATAGCTCTGGCAGCCCAGTAGAGTCAGCCGGGGACACCCCTGGTTTCTGTGTCCCAGGAAGAACGTGACAGATGAGAATGGGAAGGAATGTGGCTTGAGGCTGGACTAGAGGCAGGAGCTACTTGCCTTTCTCCCCCTCTCCCTGGTGTCACCAGTTGGGAGCACTGGCAAGGGCGATAAGGGAGAATTCCCTACCTTGGCCATCTGTCTGCATGGTCAGCAGATGCTTCATTAGGCTCTGGCTGTCCTGCTGCTGAGGTGGCTTATCCTCCTGTCCCTGTCCTGCCAATTCCATGGTCCCGTCCACTGCCATCCTCCACTGGGGAGACGGGCAGGGCCGCAAGGCCAGGAGGCAGAAGAGTCATCCTGGGCCTGGCTCTTTTAACTTCTGGTAACTAACTTTGCAGGCAGTGAGGACTCGAAGGGCTCTGGGGAGAGGAGACAATTCCCCATGCTTCCAGTGCCCCCAGGGTCTACAGCTCGGGGACCCACTTCCCCTAGAAGTCAGGGCTGGGCCAGCCTGGCTCCACCTGGGTCAGGCAGGCCCTGCCCACTCCCAGGCCAGCCTTGTGCTCATGTTCCCTGAAGGACTAGCGTGTAAAGGGAGGGAGGAGGGCCTTAGGAATCTCAGCAATGCTCCCTGAGGGTAAGTAAAGGCATTGGGTAAAGGCAGGCACAGGGCACACTGACATGGGCACTACTGAGAGACAGAGTGGGGAAGAGAGACAAAGCTGGACACTCCCCTCTTGGTCAAGGGTGACAACAGCCTTGGTGATTTTAGCACCTGCCAGCAGGTGGAAAACATGCACCTAGCACCGGTCTGCCCCTGCCAGCTCCAGGCCTGAGCCCCGCATCCTCCCTTCCCACATGCCAACCTTGACTCTGTCTCCTCCCCTCCAGGTTTGGCTGTGCATCAGATCATCACCATCACCGTCTCCCTCATCATGGTCATCGCTGCGCTCATCACAACTCTTGTCTTAAAAAATTGGTAAGGCCTGGGAATGAGGGGGCTGTGGGGGTCCACTGGGGGGGGGCGTCTGCCCAGAGAGGCCTCAACTTTTTAAGACCAGACCTCGAGGTTGGGGATGTGGCTCTGTCGGCAGAGTGCTTGTCCAGCTTATGGGAAACACTGGGTTCCATCTCTGCATAAACTGGGTTTGGAGGCCCATGCTTGTCATCCCAGCACTCAGGAAGTGGGGGCAGGAGAATCAGAAGTTCAAGGTCATCCTCAGCTACACAGCCTGGGATACAGCAGACCTTGTCTCATGTGACGGCAAAGGCTAGTTCTGAATGACAGCCTACAGACTGTGGTCCCTCTGGGGTAGGAAGTCCCAGGCGACCCTAGTCATGGGCACTTTAGGCAGCACTGGCTGTAGCAGGGCCTGGCTCCTGGGGCCATCCTTAGCATGGCTCCTGTGCAGGAGGTGGTGAGCCCCGCCTTCCTGACAAGTTTCCTGGGCTGTATGTTGGCCACCCAGACCACAGCCCATTTCATCCTTCCCAGGAAGGCAGGGACAATGCCCACTCACAGTGGCATTCTGCCTGGACCCCTCCCAGACCCCTTACCTGTCCCTGGGGTCAAGGCAATCGGCCCAGCCAGCCTCCTGCCGCAGCACCGGCTCTCTCCTTCCAAACTTGCTGCAGGCGGTGTGCCTTCCCTGTTCCCTCCTGGAAAGCTGCCTGCTTTGAGGCCGGCCTTGCTGGGTGTATGTACCTGACACACCCTGAGGAAACTGGATCGGAGGGAGGGAAGCTACTTGGGTCCCCCGCTGCCTGCAGCACCTGAGGCCTGGGTCTATCTATGGCCACTTAGGACAACTTCTGTCTCCTGTGAACATTAAAACTCCAGCTCTCTGAAGGAGCAATGTGCCTCATATCCCTAGGCCCTTGTGCCCCGTGGTTCCCCAGACCCTGGGCTGCTGCAAATAGTGATATGGGGCTAGGAAGTAGGGTTTCAGCAACAGGGAAAACCCAAAAATGGGAGTAAGAACCTTTCCCATCCATGGAATCCCAGGGCAAATGACAGGAGATTTGGGGACACAACCCAGGATAAACCCCTTCCCCCGGCTCAATACCTGACAGGTAGCTGGGCCCTTGGGTGGTTCCAGGGCACAGGAAACAGAGCAGCTCCTCCAGAGCTTCCTGGGCAGGGGCTTGCATGGGAAGGGCTCTGACCTTATCCAGGTCCGTGTGCATGTGGGTCAGTGCGATCCCATGACCTTTCCAGGAGACAAAGGACTCAGAGCTCTGTTTGTGACAGGTCAACCTTCTTTCCAGGACCAGGGGTGGGCAAAGCTCAGCCTCTTCTGCTGAGGGAGGGGTCTTTTACTTCACTGCAGGTAGAAATCAGATCTACTGTACTTGGGGAAACAGAGGCAGAGATCGGGCACCCTTCATCCACATAGTCTGAGAAAAAGGCAAGAGGAAAGGATATCCGTTCATGCTCCCCAGCTCCCCAAGCCACAGGGAAGGCCCTTCTGGCCACTGTTCATCCTTCCTGTGAACTTGTCACCAAAGTGACATCAAATCCCTTCACAGGCAAGTGGGGTCCCTGTGTACATCTCTATGGTCTTCAGAGACACCCCGCCCCCAGAGTCAAAGCATTGGGAAGCAAGGCAGGGCCTGTAGGGTGCAAGAACACTGCTCCAGCGGACCCTGGAGGGATAAGTAGCAGCCAGTTGATTTCCATCCTGAAGATGTGGTCGGGCTTGGAGAAAGGCCAGGAGCTTCCTCTCAGGCCATTTACCCTACAGTGAAACAGCCACCCGCCACGGGCCACCCCTAAAGGCTCCCTCCCACCACAATCCTTTCCTTCCCATTGAGGCACCCGTGGGGAAACTGAGTCAGCTCCATCATCTAGCTGACATTCTTTTGACAAACAAGGCCCCATAGCGCATCTACACAGCGCACAGCTCTCCTTGAGGTACAATGACCACATTTAAATTTCAGATTTTTTTGAAAAAGAACTGATTGCTTGATTGTCGTTGATCTTTCTGGAGAGGCTGGGAATTACCATCTAATAGAAAAGATTCCAGGCAGCGAGGGCTCACTGAGGATGCACAGGAGGGATAGGCGCCAATCTGGCACCTGCCCGACTTCTTCCCCAACTTGTGTGTCCCCTAGCTGTGCCCCAAGCGGGCATACTCGGAGAAACAGCCACCAGCGGAAGATCAACCAGCAAGAGGAGAGCTGTCAGAACCTGACGGACTTCACCCCGGCCCGGGTGCCCAGCAGTGTGGACATCTTCACGGCCTACAACGAGACATTGCAGTGTTCCCATGAGTGTGTCAGGGCATCCGTGCCCGTGTACGCTGATGAGACGCTGCACTCCACTGGGGAGTACAAGTCCACGTTCAATGGAAACAGGTAAGCTCCGTGTGGTCCAGCCTCCAAACCTGGAAGCTCTGTGTGGGCCAAACCCCAGCACTGCATGTAGCAGAGGACAACCCTCCCTGCCTGTCATTCACCCTGTAGATCTTTCAGGGGTCCAGCACATGCGGACAGCCGATTTGTCCAAACAAGAAAGATGAGGTAGAATCAGCAGGTATGTGGCTATCCCAGAATGCAGTGGCAAATCCTCCCCCCACCAAGACCCCAAAGCAGTGACTGGCCCTCATACTATGCCTGGAGGCCCATGAAGCTCCCAGCAGCCTCAGGATCCAAAGTCAGCCCTACTTACTGCCCTCCTGAATGTCCACAAATTATGACAGATCCCTCCTGGAGTCTCTGTCTCCGAGGCTGTCAATAAAATGTCAGCAGTCAGCTCAGGAAAACAACAAGTATCCAGCAGACTCCAGGGCTGGCGTCTCTTGTAAATGCTCTTTTTATTATTCATGGGTGATCCCTTAAAGAAGACACACTCCTCCAGCTGTCCCTGGAGATGGTTAAAACTCCTGAGTCAGCTGCTCAAGGTTTGTCCAGAATTAAATTAAAATATCAATAAGCTATTTTTTAAGTGAGCATATACCCAGGCATCATTTGTAAATTAAAAAAAGAACAAAAGGCATAAAGAAATAAGCAGGCCACCTGCCCTGAGGGCCCCTCCCCCGGTCAGCAGCAAGGTGAGCTAAGTCCACACACTGCCCAGTGGCCCCTTGGTTCTTGGCACTGAGTTTGCCTTCAGCGGTCACCCTGCTGCTACCTTTACCTTGTTTGCTAATTTGCGTGGGAGCAGGGGTGGGGCTCGGTCATCCAGAGCTTCTGACCTCCAGGGTGTCCACAGGTCGTACGTTCCGTCCTGCGGGTGCAGTGAATGGATGTCCCTCAGGTGTCCTCTTCAACCCACTTATTCTGCCCCTCCTTAGACTCTCTCGCCCCTTCCAGGGGGACAGTCAGGCACAGGAGCCCCAGACCCACTGTTTTATTTTTTCCCTCTGATTTCATCCTTGACGCTCAGGTAGCACTCAGGGCCGTCTCAGCCCCACAGAGGCTGAGCTTGCCAAGAACAAGCCAATGAGTTCAAGCAGTCCATTGAAAGTCTGATGTGGTTTTAGATTTGAACCCTGACCAACCAGGGTTTCAGCCTTGGGAAGGACTGGGCCTTGGGTCAGAGTCTAGAGTAGGTGGCATCCTCTCTTCCTAAATTCCCTTTCCTGTGCCTGGGTCATGTGAAGGACCGTGTCCAGTGTGGAGCTGACCAACGGGTACTCTCATACCCTGGTGTAGAGCCGGGAAGGGAGTTTGGCGCACGGTGATGATCTGGTAGCACTGGGTCTGGGATGTGGTAACTGCTCTTGCTTCATTTCTGCTGTGATAAAATACTCTTAAAAATGCAACTTAATAAAATGCAACTTAGGGAGAAAGGGTTTATTTTAGCTCCTGATGCCAAGTAACCATCCATCACCGGGGGGAAGTCAGTGTCAGGAGCTTGAAGCAGCTGGTCACGTCACACCCACGGTCAAGAGCAGAGAGAAGTGCGTGTGCACGTGCCCCCTTGCTCAGCTGTTAACGGTTCGTGACTGCTGCCTAGGGAATGGTGCCATCAACACTGTGCTGGGTCTTCCCACACGAACTGACATTCAAGACAGTCCCCTGCAGACGTGGTCCCACCCAACCTGATCTAGGCAGTTCCTAGTTAAGACTCTCTTCCCAGGTGATCCTAGCTAAAGCTAACCTGCACAGTGATCTAGTCTCTGGTGACAAATGTGAGAGAGACTAAGAATCAGGTTCTAACCTCTCCAAGTGCAATCCACTGTGTCCAATCTCCACCTTAAGGAAGCACAGACTCTGGGCTCATCCCAAAACCACTATGTGAAGATGGTACAGGGTAAGGGATACTGGCCTCCCACCTCTACACCTGGGTCCTCATGAGCCCGAGTCCCTCAGGTCTGCATACCCCCAGTCTCTTTGCTAGCAGGCCTGTAGGCAATGCTGGTCACTTTCTTCTGAAGGCCAGCAGGACCCCTCTCAGGAGGCCAGACTCCCCCTGCAGGCCGTCTGGCTTGCCAGCTCTGCCACTTACACAAGCCCTCTTGTCTGTGCGCCACAGATCCTCCTCTGCAGACCGGCATCTCATCCCTGTGGCCTTTGTGTCTGAGAAATGGTTTGAAATTTCCTGCTGACTGGCCGAAGGCTTTTTACCTCCTGGGGACGGGGCAGAAGCCATGTGTCTGTTCCATGGTAAGTACCTCTCCTGGGACTCTCCCCCTTGCCCCCCACCCTCATCCCACCTCTACTTTGGAATGATCAGGGACTCTTCCCTAAGGCAGTGGGCATCCCCCGTGTGGATAAAAACACCAGACTGGGGGTCTCAGAGGTGCCTTCTATCACACACAGCCCACTTTGCAGTGGAGGACTGACGGACTCCCGGGGTCTGCTCCAGGCTCAGCCTCGTGCCTCCCTATGGAGAGCTGCAAGTTAGACTCCCCTTTAGAAACAAGTTGTGGTTCTAGCGTTCCCTTCCTCCAACAGGGAGCCAGAGGGGCAGCCACAGTGCAGACAGGGATCGCACCTCCAGCACGGTCATGCCCATGCCGGGAGGCCAAGGAACCAAATTAAAATGCAGTCTTGAAATATAAAAATAAGAGATAAGACCGACCACGATAAAGAAATTGAAGAGTTGAGACACCGACTAATTTGAAGCCAGAGACCGGCGCCAAAACAGAACAAATTCTCCAAGCTGTGCTGCCTGGGAACATCTTGCTTGCTCTCAGGGGTTATTAATGTGGACGCTCAGTTAAATGGTGCCTGTGCTGAGTCTCTGGACGCTGGGCTGGGGGAAGCAAGTACCTCTCCCAGGCCTCACAGCCCAGAGGGGGTTATGCTATTTAATTTGCCAGGCTTGCTAGAGACCCTTTTGGGTAGGACATCTGTATTTTCCTCCTACTCTTTACTCTTTACTGGGGGCAGGGCAGAAGCCACGTGTCTGTAGGATGCAAGTACCTCCCTTGGGACTCCCCCTTCTCCTTACCTCCCATCCTCTCCCCACCTCTGTTTCAGAAATGATCAGGGACCCTTCCCCAAGGCACTTTCTACAAGGGGACTGAGCGAAGGGGTGGGGCGCTGAAGGCTCAAGGACTCTGTTTTCAGCACTCGGCCATCTGAGGAGGAGAATACTGTCCATGTGGGAACAAATCAGTCAGTTCTTAATCCAACCCCGATGAATCGCACGTTCGCTCCAAATCAAATCTCCAGCCCTCACGGCCTGTCCCAGAGCCAACATGTTCTGCCAACAGGCAAGGAAATGTAATTAGATTAGACTGGAAAAGAGCTGCCCGCAGAGGCCTTCGCAGAGCCTGCGTGGCGAGCACAGCCCTCCAGCAGACAGGACAGAGGTCTCTGGTGCAGAGCACAGTACCCTCATCTGCCAGTGCGGATCACCCCATTGAGACTGTGGACATCGCGCTGGGATGTGTTAGCTCAGCTAGTGACAGGGAGCTGTGGAATCCTCAGCTGCCTCGGGAAACTTCGCAGACCTCAGAGGGGGGTGGACACTGGCATCTCTGTTAAAAAGTGCATTGAAGTCAGGTGTAATTATTCAGGCCTGTGATCACAGCAGCCTAGAGGCTGAGGCAGGAGGAGCTGTGAAGCCAGCCCGGGTTACAGCTAAGACCCTGTCTCAACAAATTTTTTTAAAAACAGGAGACAGGCGCTGGAGAGAAGGCGAGTTCAGAGCACTGGCTGCTCTTGCAGAGGACCTGGGTTCAATTCTCAGCACCCACACGGAGACTAACAACTGTCCTAACTCCAGTTCCAGGGGAATCTGTTACCCTCTTTTGACCTCCATGGGCATTGCATTACACAGGTGCACTTACATACATGCAGACAAAAACCTCATACATTTAAAGTAAAAATAATAAATAAAATATTTTAGAAATAGAAGAAAAAACAGAGTATGTTAGACCACAATTCACTGACTGGCGGTACTGAGTCTGCCCTTCAGATTCTACTTTCTAAGAGAGCCCAGGGTACACAGGCCAAACCACACACTTTCTGCCCCTGGCAGCCCCATCACCTGGATGTGTAGCGGCCACTCTATGTACAGGAACTTTTTCTCTCCCCCAGCAGCCCATCTACAAGGAGAGAAATGGAGGCTGAGGGAAGATGAATGATGACCGTGGTCATTGGGGTGGTCAGTGGCAAGGCTCAATCACCCCAGGCTGCCTGGTTCCAGGACTGCATACCGCCCACCCTACAGATGGCCCTGCTCTGCAAGCTCCGTGCAGGGTTCCAGACCAAATCCTTCACAATGCCAGGCACCTCTGCTCCTGCTAACCTCAGCCCAGCCCCAAGCAGGATGCGAGCTGGTGATGGGGGCAAGGTCTCTGACAGAAGGGGATGGGCAACTGGACCACAGGGCAGAGAGCCAGCTCCTCAGCTCCTGAGCACACAGGGTCCTGAGCCCAGCTCCCTTCCTGAAGCCACAGAAGGGACATTTCCAAGAGTACGGAATTGAGGTTCTTGCTTTCGTTCTTTCCTCTTATTCGGAAGGCCTGTCACCTTCCTGGCTCCCTGGAGCATCGAGATTCCTAGTTTTGATTGGTTCTTTCAGTATATCAGTTGTGGGCTGTCCTTGGAGCTATTCAGAGTGACCCCCACCTACATGGGGGCACATTTCCATTTCCAAACTGCTCGTGCCCCTCCCTGTGCCTCATGGGAACCATCTGGGTTGAGCAGAGTTAGGAGCAGGTGCGACTTGCTCATAGAGCCATAGCTCACTCCAGGTGACTTTCTGTGGTTCAAAACCAGGAAGGCTATGCAAACAGCCTCCTTAGTCTCTAACAGATGCTTAAAGAGCCCGCCACTGTGTGCTGGGCAAGCTATTCATCACTTGCTGGGATGAAAGCCTTCAGATTCTAAGAATCCTGATTCTTATAATTAACGCCTGGGCACAAGTGACAAGCGGAGACTCGCCAGAGAAGTCTCTCAGATTTACATGGTACTTACTGTCCCTTAAATAAATAGCAATTAATAGAACACATTTAATTAAGGTCTAAAAGCCAGTAGATATTTATCTCTTGTACAGCTCTTAAGACTTTCTGGATGCCCTTTAAATGACGCCTTAGCAATTTCTTTTAAATTTTTTATTGATGATTATGTTTCTGTGTGTTGATGATTGTGTTTCTGCGTGTACACACGGCTGTGTGTATGAATGTGGGTGGACCTGTTAACAGCACATGCGTGGGTTGTCAGAACATCAGTCTTCCCACTGTGGGTCCCAGGGATTGAACTCAAGTATTCGGGCTTTTGAGTCAAGCGCTTCTCCTGGCTGAGCCATCGCACTGGCCCCAGTGTGTCACCCTCTTATCCCAACATTCCTGTCTCCTCACACTAACCTGTGCACGCACATACATACCCAACTGCGGCTAAGTTCCTTCCTGCAGATGGCTGTTTGCAAAGCCCAGGACTTGTAGTAAGCAGTAACCTGCTTCCCTCCTGGATGGATGGAGCCAGGCAAGCCTTGCCTCAGACAACCTCATGGTGGGACCAGATTGCTCTGGACAGAGGCCAAATAAGCTGGCTTCCTGTGCTCTAGGGGAGGGGACCTCAGATGCTCACCTGCCATTGACTCACGGGCTGATTTCCTACCATTTTTCACAGAACAGATAAACTTCAGAAAACCTCATTACAGTCAGTTCACTTTTCCCTCTCGCCAAGGCCATTTCCTTCCAAATGGAGCCTCGCAAACCATAAAGGCTCTTGAATTCCGAGCAAGCAAGAGAAAATCACAGTTAATGTTCTCAGAAACAAATTGAACACATAACTAATAAAAAAATTAGGAAGTACACATGAGCCTTCCCACTGTCATTAAAAAAAAAAAAAACTACATTAAAAGGTTGGAGAGATGGTTCAGTGGGTAAAATGTTTACCGCACAAGCAGAAAGACACCAGTTTGGATTCCCAGCACCCACGTCAAAAGCCAGACATGGCAGCAGGCACCTGTAATTCCAGTGCAGAGGAGGAAGAGACAGTGTGATCCCTGGCGTTTGCTGGCCAGACTGACCAATCAGTGAGCTCCAGTTTTATGCGGCATCCTTTCTTAAAAAGTAATGTGGGGGGTGACTGAGGAAGACCGGTTGTCTAGATGCATGTGCACACACAGGACATACACATGGACAGGCGTGTACATGCACAAATACATTCGTAGAATACCAAGTTTCTCTAATTCAAAGGAGTACTTATTTTAAGGTCACTTCCAGAACCTTCTGGAAGCTATGCTCTCTGAAATCTACCACCAAGGGAAGGGAGGTAGGCCTGCCCTTTCAGGCTGTGAAGACTCTGAGTAGTCAGGAACCATGAGCCCCTGCCCCCCAGACTGCCCTGTTGTCTTTGTTTTCCAAAGCAGTGCCTCAGCATCCAGCCCTGAAGCCCAGGATGCCAGCAGCCCAACCTCCATCCAAGCAGCAGGGGGCAGAATTTATCTTCAGGATCGCTCTGTGGCTCCCAGCTTCCCTGCCTGTTTCCTGTGGGATCCAGGGTCCACTTCCTGCTCCCTTCCCACCTGGCCTCCTCCTTTTCTAGCTCCCAGCCAAGCCAAGAGGCCGCTGCACTGAGACTTTTGAACGGCACTCCCAGCCTTCCCCTGTGGGCCCAGCCTCCTATCCATCCTCCCTCCCAACCCTGAGGCTGGGGTGGTACCCCATCCTTGATGGGGACCCTTTTTTCCCTTTGCAGGAAGCTAGCACTAGTCTTAAAATGGCTTTGCTGGGCCCAGTGTTGGAGCAACCAGTGGTTCCATCTCTCTTCCACCAGGAGACACCACGTGGAGGCTTGAAGAGACTCCTGTCCATACGTGGTGGCTGGAGATGCCCACTTCGTAGGGCCCAGGGCTCTGCTCAGTGGGGCTCCTCCATACTTAGCCTCTACCTGCTGTCCAAGAAGGACCCGTCTCAGGGTTCAAGTGGACAGATACAGAAGGCATGTCTAGATAGAGAAGAGACTCTCAGGAGCCTCATGGGAAGGTGGGCTCTTCTGAAATCAAGAGAATCTGAGATTTGCAGTTGGAGATTGGGGCACCACAGGAAAATGAACACAGAGCCGAAGGTTGGAGCAGCGGAGGAGCCAACCTGGTTTAAGTTCAGATCAGTAACTGGGAAGCTGCCCAGGCAGGTTCCACAGGAGCCGCTGTCCTGAAGAGGGTGGTCCTGTGACTTGCAGCTGACTGACCCTGGACCCATGGGTAAAGCCAATTTCTTAACCAGCCATCAGAAGCCAGGCTTGGCAGTAGACACCTGGGACCCCAGCACTTAGGAGACTGAATCAGGACAGTTGCGAGTACAAGGCCAGCCTGGGCTTGCAGGGATACCTTGCCTCAGAAAGTAAAGTGAGGGGCTGGAGAGATGGTTCAGTGGTTAAGACCTGTGACTGCTCTTGCAGAGGACTCCGGTTCAATTCCCAACACCCACATGGCGGCTAACAACCGTTCGTAATTCCAGTCCCAGGGGATCCAACATCCTCTTCTGACCTCCATGGCATTGTACAACACGGGTGCACTTATATACGTGCAGGCAGTGTGCTCATACACATAAAATAAAAATAATAAACTTATTTTTAAAAAGTAAAAAAAGTTGGTAGCAAGGGGAACAGTAGGCCTAAAGTTACAGGGTTCCAGGCCATGTGGAAACACGGAGCGAAAGCCACAGAGCCAAAAGGACCTCTTCTTGGATAGAAACTACAGTTTAACAAACAAGCAGCTGGGCTGCCCCTAGGGACCAGAGAACAGTGTTTTATAAGCAGTCAGGAGCTTGGATGACTTTCTATGATGCTCCCACCTGGGGGGTGACCAGTAGGGGATGAGGAAGCTGTGGCCTCCTGACAAGCAGGGGGTTCGAGTCACAGGGTTTCTGAGAAATGCTGTTTCCCCTTCTTCTTTCTGGTTGAGGAACCTATTAGCCCACCATTCCAGCTTGCCAGCACTGCGCCATTTTGGGGACCTAACACAGGCCCGTAGCACCAAGGGTTAGGTCGCCAAGCCCAACCTTTAACAAGCCTTAAAATTTTTTTTAATTTTAAAGATGGACTCTCCCTGTAGCCCCAGCTGCCCTTGAACTCTCTGTGTAGACCAGGCGTCTGCCTCCAGAGGGCAGGGACTAAAGGTGTGCCCTACCCTGCCTGGCTTCTTTTTTTTTTTTTTAAATGTAGGATGGTTCCGTGATTCATGGTATATTTTTAAACCTATAAATTTTCACTTCGGTTAAAATCAACTTAATTGATTTGTGATCTTTGTGTCCTATTTAAAAGTTCTGAACACATTTGAACAAATTTTAATAAAGTTTATGTAAGTTACTTCAGAAATATCTTTGTGACAAGTTAGATGACTAAGCACTTGTAGTTTGTTACCAACCTGTTTCGTA